GAGAGAAAGAGAGAGAGAGAGAGAGGGGCAGAGACAGACAGAGACAGACAGACAGACATAGAGGTGAGGGCTTTTTGAAAAGGGGGAGGAGGAGTTATTGTAAGTTTGAGTATCCATGAAAGAATGACTCAAAACAAGGCAACACACTTACAAAGCTGCAGCTCTCCTAAAGTCGTACAGATTCGGGTAGTGGTGAAGCAGTTCTTGCTCTCCATAATAAGGCCTGTCCAGATCGAAATACGGGTAGTCTCCTTTAATGTTCTCCGGCTCTATTCCTTGACGCGCACAGGACGAAATTCGATACATTATCCAGTCAATGTTTATCACTGCTTTAGACCTCTCTGAGATGTAACAATTCACAATGACTTCGTAAAGGATGTTAATCTGTTCAACGGTTTCAGGTGGAAAAAACCCCTTATTTTCTCAAAATCTACCCCTATGGTAGCAGTGAGCTGTCAATAAGCCGCCTGAGGACAGAAACTGTACTTACAATATTATCATGCGAATCAAAAATGTTATTTTAAAATAGATAAGAAAAGAAGAGGGTAACTATTGTCTCAAATTTTTATACGGAAGTGGAAGTGAAGAATGACGAAGTAGTAAGGGACGTAATTGTTGTAAAGAAAAAAATGACAATGCGTTGTATATGGGTAGTTTCCCCTAGTTTGAATGTTTTGGTGTTCTTTTTTGCGATTTTAAAAAAAGCGAAGTCTTTGGTTAGAGAGTAGAGATACAGCAAAGAAACGGAGCTGTGGGTGTTCTTTATTATTTTTTTTTCAAATGTCCTCTATTATTGAAGTAGGTCTATGTCAGATAAAGTCATCAATCTTGTTTGTGAAAATTAGAGGAAATCATCACCATAAAGCGTCAGATATAGAACAGATATAATAATATTTGAGCTGCAATTCGGTTTCTTCACGCAAAAGGCATTACTCCACTGATTTTTAGTCAGAACTTGAAAGTGATTATAGTGAGAATGCTTAAGCACGTCACAAGTCTACCAGTGGTGCAATTTAGCCATCCGGCCCAGAATTATAAAGTTTTATCTGCTCTGTACTAATTTGACGCCAAAAACTTTGAGTTTCACAATATTTCAACCTTTTTGGAATGCAGTTCTTTGAATATCTTGAATATGACTCAGAATAATCTCACGATTTTGATAGAGCAGAAAGGGCATTTGGTTGCTTGTAAGAACAAGCGGGCTAACCCAGATTTCGGGGGTTTCCGGAAATCTTGACCTACACCAAAAGTGGGCATTGCCCTACATATAAGAGACGTTTGGTTCCATTAGTGTGTATATTTATTTGGTTATAGAGAAAACTCTCCTTGTCTTTTAAAGAAACTGAAAAAGGGCAAGAAATTCGATTGTCTCAAAGCAACATTTTTTGGGATCGTCCCCTCGAGCTTGAAAGCGACCATTTGATTTGTAACATCATGGTCGTAGTCACTCAAAGCGGCCACAAATGTCAGATAGAACTTTGTAATCCTGAGGTAGCGATTAATTAAAAAAAATGTACACGATGAGCAAATTACAAGCTGTCATCTGTCTGTCAGCACACAAAACAATATTAAACTCACTGAAAAAACCCATTTCATGGTGACAAGACATTGCTGATTCCCTGACCTTGATCGTCCTAAGTTCTCAGAACTGTCTTTAAAGATCTTGGATACAGAAAAGTATCAGCTTGATGGATTCCAAAACAGCTGGCAGAAGACGACAAGACAGAGGACCCTGATGTACTCACGACATTGTTGGAACGATGCTGGCAAAATGCCCATGATGACAACATGGCGTCTAGGCCTGCTGGTGACTTCCAAGAGCGTAATGAAAGCGGTTTTGATCATAGTTTTCATCTTTCTCACTTCAGACTTCCATCTGTTTGGTCCAGTGCAGCGACATAATTATAGCGGTGAAAAAAAATCACCGATGACACAAACCATGTAGAGCATGTCAGAGATGAAATTGGCTTTAGTCGCTTGACACAATTTCTACACGAATGTAAGGATTATTATTTTGATTAACTTATGATGCAGCGATGAGTAAAGTACTCCACTGTTCATTGGATATGCGGTGAGTAATAAAGGGTATGTTTAGCTAATTCTGTGTGAGTAGTGTCTCAGTCATGACAAAATCTATTGTTTTATAGAAAATTTCTCTTTGATTCTGGGACAGTCATAGTATATACAGGCATGCAAAGTGATAAGTAGACACAGACCCAAATTTGTATACAGTCCCATTGATAGGTAGATGGACGGATGGATATATAGATATATAAATATGTGGATTAAGATAGGGATACAGAGAGAGAGAGAGAGAGACAGAGAAAGAGATAGAGAGAGAGAAAGTGAGAGAGAGAAAGAGAGGGAGAGAGAGAAAAAGAGAGA